TCAACATTATGCGAAGCAGCTCCTCTACATGATAGTGAGAAACCAGTTCCTGTCTAAATGTGGATGGTCCACTCCACAGAGGTGCCCCCGAATGCCTGGGATCAGCTGGTGGGTCAAGGGAAGCTGACTGTCCCTGGGGCTTCCGCTGCTATCTACCCACAGCACCAGCCTTTCCTCCACACTGCTCCATCCTAGACACTCCCTGGGGCTGTCAGTTCCCTCTCTAAGGATTTCCAATTGCCAAATTTTAGGAAGCACCCACTGACGCATTTTCATCTAGTGCTGGAGACAGAGTTGGCTGTTTAAGCCACTCTGTCTGTCCCCAAGAGATACCAACAGAAAATAAACATGTGCGTGTGTGTGATCTCCTGAGGGTCTGTGTTTCAGAGGCCGAAATTGGTTTCCTCACTCCCTGCGCGTTCCCTCTCAGTCGGGGCTCTATGGCAGAGGAAAGCTGGACAAGCTTTCAGGACAGCTGGTTCAAGTACAGACTTTACTACTGAATTGCTGGGTGATGTGGGCCAAGTTACTTCCCTTCATTGGGTCTCATTGGGTTTTCTCACCAAAGATGGCAGGAGATTAGATCAGATCACAGAGGTCCTTGGTCTGTGGATCCCTAGGAAGTCCATGGGTGGGCTTCAAATGTTTTAGCAATTCCCCAGATTTTACATGCAAGGTGTTTTACACATGAGGTTAAAGGGGCCCATAGATTCTTCTGATTTTCAAAGGAGTCCACTATCACTTGAAAACTTCGGCATCACTCACCTGACAAAATCCTTTCTCATTCTAAAATTCTAAGGTTCTATGTGTTAATCTAAGACTCTGTATTGCATACCAGCCCGAAACCGTCTTTTACACAGAGTGACAATGAAAACCCAGGACATTCCTGGCAAGTGCAGACGAGCACATGGGTCTCCTGATTGAATCCAGCCTTATTCAGTCATTCAACATACATCCATTATAATAATTATGTGTTACTCAAATGATAACTTTTGACATAAGCCCAGAGTCTCAACAATACCCCAGGGCCTAACACAGACCTAGCACATAGCAAATATTTGGTGAATGAAACAGTGAATAGGAAGTCTGATTAGGTGCCAGGAATGGAATATGGAAAGAAAAGGAAGAACCCCTAAACAGAAGACCTTTGAGTTTTAGCCTTGAATTGGCTCCACACAAAGCCTCTTTGACTCTGGGCTCTCTTTCTTCCATCTGTAAAAGGAGGGAAGTAAACAACTAAGCTCTGAGGTCCCTTCTGGATTTAAGATTCCAGAATGTCACAACTACCTCTGGCTACCCAGATGGGGTTCGGGGAAAGATCAGTGCCTAAGAGCCCCCATCCCAGGGAAGTCTCTATTGTTGAGTATCAAATTAACCTAAACTTCTGTAACAAGTATTTATCATCTCACACAATTTTGAAGGGTCAGAAATCTGAGCAGTTGGCTTAGGCTCTCTCATAATGTGTAGGCCATGCTCAGCCATAAAAAGGAATGCATTTGAGCACGTTCTAACCAGCTGGATGAACTTAGAACTTATTATACAGAATGAAGTAAGTCAGAAAGAAAACAGTAAATATCATATATTAACATATATATATGGAATCTAGAAAGATGGTACTGATGAACCTTTTGCAGGGCAGCAATGGAGATAAAGACACAGAGAACAGACTTATGTACATGGGCGGGGGAGAAGAAGGAGAGGGTGAGATGAACGGAGAGAGTAGCAAGGAAGCATGTGCACGACCGTATGGGAATCCGCTGCATGAATCAGGGAACTCAAACCAGGGTTCTATAACCATCTAATGGGTGAGAAAGGGTAGGAGGTGGGAGGGAGGGTCAAGAGGGAAGGGACATATGTATACCTATGGCTAATTCATGTTGTTGTATGGCAAAAACCAAAGCAATATTGCAAAGTAATAATCCTTCAATTAAAAATAAATTGAAAAGTGAAAGTGAAGTAGTGTCCAGCTCTTTGCAACCCCATGGACTGTAGCCTAATAGGCTCCTCCGTCCATGGGATTTCCCAGACAACAGTACTGGAGTGGGTTGCCATTTCCTTCTCCAGGAGATCTTCCCAACACAAGGATTGAACCCGGGTCTCCCACGTAAAGAAAAAAAAGTTGCTGGCCAGGGCAGCAGTCCTCTGAAGGCTTGACTGCAGTTGAAGTCGCTGCCCCCAGACTTAGTCACATGGCTGTGGGCTGGAGGTCTCAGTCATAGACCTTTCCCCAGTGATGCTCATGCCGTGGCATCTGGCTTCCTCCAGAGCAAGCAATTTGAGAGAAAAAGAGGGTCATCAAGATGAAAACTCAATGCCTTTTTGTAACCTAACCAGGAAGTGACATACTATCAATTATGCTGTATTTTAGTGGTTATGCAGATCAATCCTGGTCTTATGTATGAGGGCGCTACACAGGGCATGAATATGGAGAGGTGGGGATCATTGAGGGCCATCTGGGAAGCTGGCGACCAACCCAGGCTGGAGCCAAATCCCACAGGGCCCCCATTTAGACAAGGCCACTGCTCATACTTTTCCAGGAGTTACCAGTGGGGAGAGTTTGGGCATGAGCCAGGCAGTATTATCAATGGTATGTCCTGCTGCTCCTTTCCAATGCAAGCATGGGAAGTCTGCGCGACTCCTCTCGGAAACCCTGCTGCCTGGCACAGCCCTGCAAGGGTGAGGACAGAGCTGCATGGGGGATCAGCAGCAATCATCCTAAACAACCTAGCAAAACCTCTATCAGCCAGAGCAAAGTAAGCCAGGACACTCACCCAGTCAGATTTTTTCTGATAAAGAAATCTAAATACTATGTTTAATGATAGAGACAAATGACAGGCAAATATATTGCTACTAAATATTTTTTAAAAATCCTCCAAGGATCTAGATCTATAATCCTGTATGCTGTCTACATCTAAAAGCATTGTGAGATCCTGCAAGACCCAGGATTATCAGCGAATGATTTGCTGACTTTACTTGCTAAGGCAGAAAAGTGAAACAAAAACTTTAGGAAATTTTCAAAAAGCAACATTTCTAACAATACAGCCTTTCTATTGAACTTCCATCTAGTTAGGAAATGAAATTAGCCAGACCATTTCACTTCCTCAGTAAATGAGACTGAATTTCTTGTGACTGAGACACAGACTCCGTTCTCCATCCCCTGATGTGGCCAGCACTTCCTAACCCGGCTTTCATTCCTCTCTCAGCCTGGAATGCTTGGCGAGCTTGGAGTTGGAATGAAACAATACGGGTTCCAGTCTCTGTTCCACCTCTTATATCTGGGGCAACTGGACTCTCTTGAGCTCCTTTTTCCTCTCATAAAATGAAAGGATTATAGTCCATGATTCTTTGGGTATCTTTCACGCCTAACTTCTAGGACTCCATACGTTGACCTTCTCACCCTCTCACTTTCTGAAATCCAGGATGCTTTTCCAGGATGCAAGCAAAATGCTAACACCACCATGAGGCCTCCTTTATATCTGTGGACAGAGTAATTTCTCCCTTCTCTATGACCCTGCAATTAACAGATGTTAACACGTTGTTTTCTGTATTAGGTATATATGCACACTTTGTCTCTCTGCCCAGACTCTAAGCTCTTTGAGAACAAGGGCCTGGTCCTTCTCAGTTTTAAAAAAATATTTATTTATTTTGGCAGTACTGGGTCTTCGTTGCTGCACGTGGGCTTTCTCTAGTTGTGGCTAGCAGGGTCTACTCTCTAGTTGCCCTGTGCAGGCTTCTCATTGTGGCGGCTTCTCTTGTTGCAAAGCATGGCCCTAAGGCATGTGGGCTTCAGTATTTGCAGCGTGTGGGCTCAGAAGTTTCAGCTCACGGGCTCTGGAATACAGCCTCAGTAGTTGTGGCGCATGGGCTTATCTGCCCCATGGCATGTGGGAATCTTCCCGGTCCAGGGATCAAACTGGTGTCCCCTGCATTGCAAGGCGGATTCTTAATCCCTGGACCACCAGGGGAGCCAGGTGCTTCTCTTCTTAATATCCCTTAGCGCTGCATGTAGCACACAGTAAGTGTTCATATTATAGTTTGAAGGACGTCCAAAAAATGTTGATTTTGCAGCATACTCGTGTACTGGCTGCCCTCAACCAGCAGGGGGAGAACGCTTGCTCCTTAAAAGAACCTGCCAATTCTGAAAACCTTTCCTCTGGAGAACTGTCGGATGGATTTACCTCTGAGGATGAGAGAAACCCGTGGGACTGGGATGAAGCCAGAAATGAAGGAGAGCCTGTTATTTCTGACTACGAAACCACCATTTATTTTGCGACTTGGTAAACAAAATAACATCTCAAGAACAGAGAGCAACCTTCATGATAAATTCAGAGCATTTCATATCTCTAAGGCCTGCACAGAGTTACAGTGGGAATACATTCTTGATTAAACACTGGGTAATGTGGGGCATTAAGTCTGTGATAAATTGAGAGATAGGGACATGCAACCTCATTTCTTTTAAGGATATTTAATTATAAAATTCTGTAACAAAATTACAGCCTTATTAAAATGGTTTCTCACTGAAGAAAGGGTCTCAAAGGTGAGGCATGCCGATAATACCGGTGCTGTGCCTTTAGGGTTTTCCAAGAGCTCTCCCTCTGCCGATGCACGCTGTCTGAAACCAGAAAGAGGGGATAAAGCACCTATCTCCTCTCAGGAAATAGTCCCTTAGGGAGGGTGATCTCTCTCCCCACTAGCCTGCCCCTGAAGAACCTATAGTGTCACATAGCTAGAATCCTGTCAGGGAGAGCTGTCTGATAAATAACCAGCTTCTCTTTAAAAGATGTTCACCAGCCAGTAATGGGCAGATTGATAGTCACTCACAACTTAGTATAAATTACACCAATCTTCTTATTTCAGCTCCCCTCCTCCAACGATGGGGAAATGTTTAGCCTGAAAATGTTGGCTGTATGTTCGAAGCAGTCATAATTTTGGAGCATAAGGTACTGTGGGGCAAGGAGGCCAGAGTGATGAGCCTGTGAGGGAGGCTTTGGGCCTGGAGAATGGTGCAGGGGACACGGAACACTGGGGCCACTGAGAGGTAGGTGATTGTGCTGATACCAACTGCCCGTGGAGTTTTCAAAGAGCCTGCTCCATCTCTAGTCAGTACATCAGAGCACGTGCCCCCGTGTTTCATTCAGAAAACACATATTCATGGCCTTCCTGGTGACTTAACACCTTCCACACCATCTAGAAACAGAAAGATAACAATTCTGATGGTCGAGGGTTGGGGTACTTGTTTCATTTCTCAGACATTGAGAACCGATCTCCTCAACCATCAAAAAAGAGGAGACATCTAGGGACTTCCTTGGTGATCTAATGGTTAAGAACCTGTGCTTCCACTGCAGGGGGGACAGGTTCCATCCTGCATGTCACATAGTGTAGCCAAAAAGAAAAGAAGAGGAGTTCACTTACTCCTCTCATAGCAAATATGCTGCTAAGTACACTACCCTGCCTATGCATCATGAGCCCTCCGCTGCTGCTGCTGCTATTGTTGCCACGGCTGTTGTTATTGTTGGTGGTGCTGTTTTTATTGTTGTTGCTGTGACTGTTGTTTTCAGACCCAACACACAAGAGACCCTTGGTAAACACTGGCTGGCATAATTACAGAATCACTCCGTCCTGCATCCAGGGTTGGCCTGTGACACCAGGTCTCCTGCTCATTACTTACATCCACGTTAGCTTTTCACCCCTGAGCTGCCTAATTAAGAGCCAGAGAACAGTATTGAAATAAACCCAGAAAGCCAGCAACGCCAGCTGCGCTCTGCCTTTCCCCGGTCACCATGAAGACTAGAGCAGAGCTCCTTAGGAGGCAAATGCTACTTCAAGGAATTAGATGTCTTGGAGGATTGGGTGGAGACAGTTTGTAAGTGCCAGATGCCATGTGGCAAAGCCCCATCACCTTCCAGCTACGTGACTTGGGGCATTTCACTCAACCTCTTCTTTTTTTCCTTTTCATCCACAAAACAGTCACCATCCTCATGAGGTTGCTGGTGTCACTGTGCCCAGTTTGGTGCCGGATGTACAACAGGAATTCAGTCAACATCGGCTTCCTTTCCTCCAGTCCTTTCTTCTCCCCCACCCCCACCCCAGTAAGGACCTAGAACATCAGAGCTGCAGGATCTGAAAGCTGGACCAGCTCTGTTTTATTTTTCCAGATGAAAGAAAGATGTACAGAGAGACATAGGCAGGCCCAGAGGAGGGTGAGGCTGCCCTCTCCTAGTCCCTGCCCACCCCCAGTATCGCCCTGTCCCACCACCATCACAGGGCTGTCAACTCAGAGCTCAATCCTTCGGGTTTCACTTAATTGGGACTGTGGCTCTCCTCGTTCTCTGAAATTATATCAGTGAAGCTCTGATATAATGTGAAGCTCTGATCCACCATGGTTTTTCCTTTCTGAGGTCCCTCATGCCTTTGGCCATAAGCTCATCTGTATAAGCCATCATATTCCACTCATGTTTTCAATGGACCCTAAGAACTAGGCCTGGATCTGGGCCTCTCCTTATAAGTGCAGGACTCTAAATTCAAGTTCACAAACTGGAGTCTGTTTTCTGGAGCACATCCAAGTGTGGGTGAGTGAAAGCCGGCAGTTTATAATCCCGAGATGCTAATCTCCTTCCCAGGTTGTGAATGTGGTGGAGGAAGTAATAAAGTTGGAAAACAGAATAGGTTCCAGGCCTGAATGACCAATTAAGCCTCTTTTTAAATGACCAAGAGCAATATCTATAAGGTGCAAGCTAATTAACAAGAATTAACAACAACTACTACCAAAAAAAAAAAAACAGACACTTTAGCTATATCAAATGCTGAGGACTAGAAATGCAAGCCATCTTATTTTTACTGCATCTAATATTTTACCACCTATCTGTTGAATTAAACCAAGTTCTAGCTCCAGCCTCAATTCATTTCTGGTCCTGGTTGCATAGGGCAGGGATTCAAAAAAAGAAGGGGCAAAGATGACAGAAAACCATAGGAGGGATAAGAAAACCTCTGTGTGAAATGCATAAAAGACCAGTCAAAAGGCCTTCTCTCCCCTGTTTCCTTCCATTCATTCATCCAGTGAATATTTATGGAGCAATTACTTCCCAAGCACCACACTAGGCACTGGGGATGCCATGGTTCCTGCCACTGCAGAGCTGACGTTATTGGTGGCAGATATAGACACAAACGGCCACTTGAACCAAAAAATAAGATAATCTCAGAGTGCGCAAAGCCCTAAGAAGGCAACGCAGTAAGTTAATGAAACATTGAGGAACTGGGCTTGAGTAGGGGTACCTTGTCTGGGTGGCTGGAATAGCATCTTCCAAGAGGTGACTTCTATAAGCCCAGACCTGTATGATGAGTAGCCTGTGATGGGTAAACCTGAGACAGCATTTCAGGCAAACAGGCACAGCAAGTGCAAACGCCCTGTGTGAGGATGAGCTCAAAAAACAGACAAGGTCAGAGTAGCTGCAGCCCAGGGAGCCAGGGCTGTGGGCTGAGATAGGAGAGGTGGCAGTGGCCTGAGGCATAGGCATGGGGAGGCAGGATAAGGAGTGGGTAAGTAGGCATGGCTCCTTGGGGCAGACAAACCGGATCTTGAATCTCAGCTTTATGATTTACCAGCAGTGTGACCTTGAGCAGATGACTTAACTAACCTCTGAGCCTCAGCTTCCTCATCTTTGAAATGGGGATGCTAATAGGACCAACCTCACATGGTTAATGTGAGGAATAAATGAGAGGCGCCATTGAAAGTGCCTAGCAGAGCACCTGGCATCCCTAGTAGTCAGTAAGCTTCAACTTCTCATCATGGACATCCAAGGTCATGGCTCACAGGCTGTGGGCCCAGTTTCAGCCACCACCACTGAGAAAGCCACCAGGTGGCAGTCTTTCAAGCCTTTCTAGCTGCACCAGTGCCTGGTCATGACTTTCTTCCTTGTTTGCACCCAATACAAAAGAGCAAGACCCAACCCTCCAAAAACTTGTGGGGTACACAGTTACTGGAAATGCACAAGGAATATTTTCTGATTTCAGCAATAAAATGAAATGAAAAGAAAACCTGGTTAAGAGTGAGACCTCAGTTCTAGTCTCTACCTACAGACCAATCAAGACTGGCAATGCATTGATCTTTCTGGGCCTCAAATTTCCCCATCTACCTACAGCACAGTATCATTGTGAGGCCTGAGGGAGGTACTGGGTGTAGAGTGACTAGAGGTTGTCTAAAGTGTGCTTGAGTGACAGTCCCAGTAAACTTGCTGTTTACTTTTCCTTAGATTTTCATCTAAAAAATGGGCCTAGTAATAGAATCGCAGGCTTGTTGGGATGATTAAAATAGTCAGAGCACATGTACGTGTAAGCACAGCCTCAGTGTGAACTATTATCATTTGTAAAGCACTGTTTAGACAGATCAGCTTATGAACACACAGGCCGAAGTGGCTTTGGTTGTGGTAACTGCTGGGGACTGCAGAGAAAGAGGAGCATCTGTCAGAGAAAGATGAGCTCCCAGAGGACCCCGAGGAAGCAGAGAGAGGGGCAAACTCTACCTAGAGATGGGGAGGGAAGGTGCTCAGTGACCAAGCCAGGGAACTATCTCCACAGTTCCCAGGCAGAAGGCGGACCTTGCAGGATGCAGGAGGAGGGGAATGTCTCCTGGCGCGGTTCCTGTTTCCTGTCTCTTTCTGCACCAGTTGGGCAGCAGTCCCCTGTGTACTATAAGCTCCTTGAAGGCAGAGAAGGTCTTATTCATCTTTGTTCCTCCCCTGGCCTAACCCAGAGCCCACACCTAACAAGCTCTGGATAAATGCTTGCTGGTGGCCCATCCATCCTGGGCCACGTGGGGAACTGATCACATCCCAGACCCCCCTGGGCTACACACTGAGACTGAACTCCTCCAACCCACCCTGGAAATTGTATGCTCTGCCTGTGACCTGGGGACACTGGTGACTCTGTGCTAATGTCCTCATCTGTAAACGTGTGCGCAATGTGTCAGACCCTTGCCTGCCTGGAAGGCTCTTAGGAGGGGGCACACGGTGGTGAGTGCTATGCAACTGTTTAACGGCAGGGAATGGGTGTGAGGAGGAATGATAGAGTCCCAGGGAAGGCTCAGGCACATGGAACTGGCATGGCCACTCCAAAGGAGCACCCACATTCCCAGCCCTACTTTACTGCAGAATTGTTGGGGGGTGGGGAGGGATCATTCCATCTTTCCTGTTTCCTCAAGTCCAATACAAAGAAAATATAAACACCACTTCTTTGTCATAAAGGGCATAATGCTTGGCCCCCAGAAAGGGCTTAAATGCTTGTTGAATATCCCTACATTATAGTGTCTGAGACACTATAAATACTAGAGCAGCCCTGGTCAAACTCCTCTACTGAAGAAATGTAAAAGCAGAGGCCAGGGTTATCACACACCCTACCCCAGGGCTCAGGGATCTCACCCTACCAAAAGCCTGAAAGGTCTTTTGTATAAAATGTGCATGTAGCTTTGCATTGGGCTCCATGATATATCCAAATGTATCAAAAAGGAAAAGTGTATTTTCAATTTCTTACCGGTGAAATTACCCACCTTTCTTCCTCTTGCCCCTGCCCCTTAGTACATCCGTTAGCAAAAATGGATAGTCCAGGAAGATGAGGTCCTTTTATCTGGGGCAATTTGTGGTTCTGAAATACTCCCCAAACAGCCTTGTTTAAGAAGCACAGTAAAAGAGCACAGTTTTATTTGTATTTAATATTTCGGTGGGCCAGCCTCTGCACCCTGCTTTACTTAGAACCCATGACCTTTATCCTGTGGGGTCCAGTGGGTCCGTCGGGGTCCAGGGGGAGCCAGTTCCCTGCAGGCTGCCCTGCTCACCAGCCCCAGCCAGCAGGCAGTAATCGGGCAGATCAGACAACAAACAGCCTGAGGGCTCTCCCTCAGATCTCTACCTCCTGTCACCGCAGTTCCTGCTGCCTGACCTTCTGACCTGGCCTCCACAGAGCCTGCCCTCCCCTCCCTGGCCCAGTCGTGCCTTTGAGCTCTTGCCTGCCTCCCGAGAGAGACGTCCTAAACCCTCCTCCTGCAGC